GGTATTTTGCTCTCGGTGAGAGGCGGATGGCTCCGCCCAATCGTCCCCCTTCTCAACTGCGTGAGAAAGCCTCGCCTCTTGCAGGCGACTGTTTTTCTCTTCTGAGTCCAGAGAAGCACGGCCAGAAGAGCTAGACTCGGAATCGTCCTCTGACGAGTCCGAAGAGGACGACTCCTCCCCTCTCCCGGAGGGGCCCGCCTCCTCTCCTTTAAAAGGAGCAGGAGAAAAATGAAGAATTGTCAACTGTAAAATGGGAAGGGGTCACTTTGACTCCTCCCTCAGAACTTCCGGCTTTCAAGCCGCTTTGTTTCACCTCCACATCTGGCGCCTGGTCAGATGTTTCACTAATCGGCACCCTGTGGGAGGAGCCGTCTGAGTTTGAGATCCTGGCAGTCTTTTTTGTTCTGGCCATCATGCTCTGCATAGACACAGATACGGTCGGACTTTGTATAAAGGGCAAAGATGGTTCCGGAAAAGGGCAGGCGGCACTCCTAGTCCTAGATTCAGCCGTCCCCAGTGACCGGCTGATCACTAACCTAGGTCGTGTCGTGTGCTTCCGTGGTGCCATTTCAAAAAAGAATAAAATAAAGAGAAAATTAAGAGTAATAGAACCGACGGTTACCTGAGCGAGTGACGTTGATGGAGTTCTGAAAATCCTGTGCAGTCGGCTTGTCAGGGCAGGCGGTAGGCAGAAAGGGTCCAAAATGTCAGAGCAAGTTCAGGGGTCCGAATGTTCTCTCACAAAGTTCTCAAGTGTGAAAATGACTGAAGTCAACACTCCCTTATATAGGCGAAGTGAGAAGGCGAAGGGTCACTTCCAGAATTCATAATTTGGGCGGGAAAATCTCTCGGCCTTTCGCCGAGTGACACCTGTAGCAGGCTGTCGCCTGTTACAGTGCGACACCTGTCACAGGTAACACGTGACCAGTCACGTGCCACCTGTGAGGGGCAAATGATTAGGGGATTTTGCTCCCACCAATCGGAATGCGCCACGTGGGCCAATCAGGTCCTGCCAAGTGTCCCCCAGTTGGAACTGTCAGGGCTTGTCACGTGGCACACGCTTATTTGTCCACCTTGGACCTATTATGTCATGACACGTGGCATACTCCATGCCTAATGGAGAAACCGGCCACCCAGGCCCAACTTCCGAGGGAAGCCCAATCAGCCCTAGGTTAACCTAAACCTAGGATTGACACGTTTTCCAAGGTTATAAATACCTCCCTTAATCCTCATTAAGGGGGATTACATGAATTGCATGCTAAAAAGCAGATTACATACATTAAACACTCTCACCTAGAGAGACCCAATCACTTTAATTTCCGCATTAATTACTCCTTAATCAAGTACTAACTTGACCGTCGGAGGCGGAGCTCCCACCACCAGGAGTCTCCGTTGTTTTGCAGGTACAGGCGTCCGGTTCCAGTCTCGGAATTGTAACTCTCCCGCAGGACATCAGAAAACCCCGAAACAATTTTAGTTTTAAAACGTTGAATTTTTAGTACTTCGTAAAAAAAACTTAAATAACTCTATATTACTTACAGAGTACAAAATATTGCGGTATAGTGATTAGTTTTTGCATGAGAGCTTGCTTTAGTAACTCAAATTCTGGCATGTCTAATATTTTTGACCAAAATCCGTGCGCTAATTGATATTAGTTCATGGAAAGTTAAATTTAGTAAATTCAGAATCCTAATATATATTAAGATACTCAATTATTATTTCAAACTTCTTTGATTTGAGGTTTACAATGATATGATTGATCAAATGCCTATAAGACAACACGAGTATGTCTGTATGTATATCACAATCATATACTTAGTATATTATTCCATAAGCTTAGTGGTCCAATATCTAGCTTAGGGTAGATCAAGTTTAAGAAAATAGCTTATTTTAATTAGATGAATGTTCTAGCAGCTAACCATTCAAAGTTTGGAATTAACTAATGTATTTTTTTTAATCAATATCTACTAATCTACTATTATTCAAATTATGGAATTAACTAATAAATTTTATTCGAAAGGATGACATGGGAGTTAAATAATTCATACTATTTTCCATGTCATTTACTACTTGCCTTATACGTAACAACTAACATGTGATGAAAATAATAATAAGACATTTAATCAAGATTCATGACTTGATTGGCTTAGTTGTAACTTTTATAAACACATCAAACTTGGAAATTTACTTATCATTGGAGATGATGCACTCTAAAGAAGTGAAATTGGATTTATTGATGAATGAAAGCTACATGCATTCTATTACTCAAAAAAAAAAAAAAAAAAAAAAAAAAAAATCTAGAGATGGAAAATGTTTTTAGGTAAATGTTTATGTTACAGTAATTAGGAATAGGATTTATGTACATGACTACATGAGGTGTCAAGGGTGATAATTAAACTAAAGTCAAAGACACCATGAATTTATGTGAATGCATATGTTTGAGAATTGTATTGGTCCATAATCACTACTGTATGTTCTTATTGGTCGGATATCTAAACCAATGAATAAATTTAAAGGACGAATACATGTGAGTATAAAATTTCAATTGGGTTTTTTTTTTTTGAAGTAATTAAATAACTTAAATTAAATTAGTATGGCTAGATACACAAAATACTTGTATAATTTAATAGAAGTTATAATTAAAGAGATTTATCGAACATGGATGATGAATCTATGAGATTGGCCTTCTTAGAATATACGAAGTATGAATGTTGGGTAACTTGGACAAATTTGACTATTTTTGAGATGTACAATCCAATAATGGCGTAGTCATCAGTCATACTTGACAAAACATAAATTTAGAATCATTGATGGATCAAAGTATGTAAAAGACCAAGCAACTAATAAATTATAATTGTGGCTATTTACCTATAAATTACTCCCTTATTTACCTAGGCCATCTCATGTTGCTCGTCTCACACACATTTTTATTCATGAATTTGGTTATGATAGTGTCGCAGATGACTATAAGTCTATAAGTTTGTTAGAATTCTTCAGTGTTCTGGTGAGGGGGCCGAGAATTTCTATAGTAAACTTATGGTTTATAGTTTGAAATCGGATTTGTGGACTAGGGTACCGGTAGTCACCTACATCTTTTACATTGGTTTCAATGGATTTCCTCAGTTAAAAAAGAGTTTGATCAGTTTGCCAGAAGATTGATCATTTATACAAATCGCGACAAGAGCCTATGTTGCACTTATTTAAAAACGGAGGGAGTAAACATAACTTAATACAGGGTATCATTCTTTAAACTTGCGACTAGTGAGGAAGTAACTGAAATGATAAACCAGTGCCCTCAAATTTTTCTTCCATCAATTTCTTCATCCTCTCCGCCATAGTAGGCGTTATATAATGGCTCCAATCTCCCACCTCCCCTTTCCTAAAATAGCTCTTTTTATCATGTATCTTGTTGATGACTCCGGTTTTATTAACTTCCAATTCTTTGAGGTTGTTAATGCTGCACATCTCTACCAATTCTTCAACTGCACCTTCACTTTCCTCGATACAAGAAAATGGCATACCAACAAATTCAGCCACCCTCTTTAGCTGAAAGGTGGGATCCTCCTTCAAATCCTCGTACTTGAGGAATAACACCTTGTTTGGTTGCTCTAAACTCTGCTTCCAGTATTCAACCACGTGGTCGAAAAAAGGACCATGACATATTTTCCCTGCACAGAAATCCTCAAAGAAATCCTGAATTGTAGGCTGGAAATCGTCCCCCAATATCATTTTTAGTGGCTTCAATACAAAGAACATGAATGACACAATTGTATCCAATGGATTACGCGCAATGTACAAAACCCGACACCTAGAAGCTTTAATAGTTTCCGGTAGGGTGGTGAAGGACAAGTGGGTGTGGAAAAGTCTCGGTGAAGGTAGCTCACTAAGATGGTGTGGACGAGGGTACTCAAAAGCTTCACCATAGATGTCATTTTCGAGGCGATATACAAGCTCGTGTGGATGATGGGTAAGCAAAGGGCTTTGGTTACTAGGGTGTTTGAAACGGTTGACAACACTATAGAGCAAAGCTTTCAACCAAGTGGTACCGGTTTTAGGAAAGCTCGCGACAATTAGATCACTATCTTTTGCACTGAAGTGTCTTTGAAACATGAGACTAGTCTTGAACAAATCAGTATCAACAGCATACCAAAAGCCTTGGTATTTTATCAATTCAAGCTTACCAAAGGAAAGTTCCTTGGGAAGACTTTGCTTAAGCTGCTCAACCTCCTCGTCGCTGACCACGACTCGTGTTTCTTCCTCCTCCTTGCGAGGTTCACTTGGATTCATTTTTGTGGTTTCCATTGTATGTTAACTCATAAAAAAGACTCATATCTAATCTACTAAAAGGTTTTTAAGGTGTCCATTAATGTTTCTTCCTTATCATCATACACTCAAGTGCTAATATTTTCCATATACTTATAATTGATGACACACTAGTATTTTACTACTATATAAGTGGGTTTGTCATGTTGTGGTAATGTAGTTGTTGGTTGTTTGGTCTTAATTGTGTTATTATGTGTGTCATGTTATCAAGTTAGTCCCACACATAGCCTAGAACAACAATGAAAACGTGAAATTATGTAGATATACAAATGCTTTATACTCTGACTTTGCAACACTAATAATCACAATGATGGTTCTTCACCCTTTCTAGATCCAATTAGGTTAGGTGATGTACTTTGTGTAGCTCTAGAAACACGATCTACTTAGATCACTTCTTATATATTTTAATAGGATGAATCCGAATCGATTTGACCCTACTTGATTCATATATTGTGTTTTCAATATAATAACGATTACTACGTAATTTTATTAATATAAGCCTATTGATAATAATGAAATTAAAAATGATCTAACTCAACTCAAACTAATCCAAATACGAAATCAATAAGAGAGAAACTTATTCAAAATTGGCCCAACCTTCAACCAGATTCAAAACAATTCCGAATGAGCTGAATTGACATCTCGGATAGGGGCAATATAACCAATTTTTTTTGGGTGCCCGACTACCAACAAATGAGTGCCCTGAGAGGCTAAGTAGCGCACCAAGAGTATACGTTAATTTTTTTATTCTTGTTGAAAGAAAGTACTTAAAAGAAAAAGAAAAATAAAAGACTTGAAGAATGAATAAACAGTTACAAATTTTCAAATATTCTGAAACTTGTATCGATTTTGTTTCATGCAACTGTATTCTCTTGCTCAAATAACTTGATCGATTTCTGGTAATCTTTCTGATAATTCTATCTTCCACTTTCTGTAAATTTAATTAAAATCTTTAATTTCTCGAATATCTTTGTTTTTCTCGATTTAAATCATTGACTTTTTCTCAATCATTTTACGTCTTCCCTTACATAATTTTTTCCTCAAATTCAATTCAATTTAGCGCAAAATTATCTAATTTTATGCTCAATTGTTCAATTATATTGTATTCTTTGTTGGGTTTGCTCCAATTTTGAATTTTTTTTTGCAGAAAGCTGAATTAATTTTACATTTCAATTTTTTGCATTCCCTTATTCCCCTTTTTGCTCAATTCAATTCAATTACCTGCATAAATATCTCAATTCCTATGTTTATTCTTCGAATTGTTTGTTAATATTCTCAATTTCCATGTTTGAATTAATTACATGCATAATTTTATCTTCGAATTATGTGTTAATTTCATTTTTGCTCAATTTAATTTAATTTGATTAAATTATATGCATTTTCTCGATTCACCTGTTTCATCTTCATATTATTTGTTAATTCTCTGTTGAAATCGCTTGAATTTTGATTCTTTTGTGCAGAATAACAACAGATTATGTGAATTATTGTAATTTTGAACAAAAATGACGGAATTTATGGACCTTCACTTTGATTTGTTGATAAATATATTCTTAAGATGGAGTGCAAAACCCTTGATGCAATTTAAGAGTGTATGCAAGTCATGGTATTACCTAATTAGCTCCCCTCAATTTACCGAGCTTCATCTTGATCAAACCCTAGCTCAATCGAATCCGAACCTCCGATTTGTTTTTTCAGCTCCCCATCTCTCTTCTGCTGAATTTGACACTTTTGATCGGATCACCGAGTTGGACAACCCCTTTCGTAGTCAGGGTTTTGCCCATGTGGTGGGTTCTTGCCATGGGTTGCTCTGCCTCTGTAATTATGATTTGCACCTTACTATCCTCTTGTACAATCCCACGACTCGAACCTATAAGAAACTCCCCTTTTTGCCTAAACCCTCAAGCTTGTCTCATCGCTACTCGTTTGGGTTTGGGTATGAAAAAGAATCTAGGGACTATAAGTTTGTTAGGATTTTGCAAAGCAATGAGGGAACTGGTCCTTTCAAGAGCCAAGTCATGGTTTATAGCTTGAAAATGGATTCATGGGTGAGGGCTCCAGATGTTCCTTCCCCATTCTTTTCCTACCGTGAAGATGGTGTTCTTGTTAATGGTACTTTGCATTGGGTACATGAATTTATGCATAAGGATGAAAAGCGGTATTCGATTGTTGGATTTTGTCTTGGTAACAACAGCTTTATTGAGGTGCCTCAGCCTAAGTTTGAGGAACAGCTTATCAACTTACGTGATGGGGTTCTTGAAGGGTGTTTATGTCTTATGGTGAATGACTTGGAATACTCAGATATATGGGTCTTGAAGGAATATGGTGTGGCGGAGTCATGGGCTAGGCTGTTCAAAGTTAAGCAATCACAACAGCTTATGTTTCTCGAGTGGCCCATTGCCTATTCTTTGAATCGACAGAAGCTTTTTCTGCAGCTGAATACTTGGAGGGTTGTTTCACTTGACTTGCAGACTATGGTGATCAAAGATGTTAAGGTCTGCGATTTCCCTAGATGTTTTGACACTCAAGTATGTATAGAGAACCTCATTATGTTGAAGGGTTCTGGCAGTGAAGCTCTTGACCATCAGCAGGGAACAAAGAAGAGGAGGAGGCGAAGGAGGAGGAAACATGTGCATCGAAGAAGAAATATTAGGTAAATTGTAAGAGTTTACTTGCATTCTTTTCGTTTATATGCCATGTAGGTTGGTTTTTTGTGTGTGGTGTATATGTACGTCTACCTAACTAGTTACAAATTGAGCTCTATTATATCCCTTTTCTGTAGTGTCGATGAGAATTTGGAAAGCTGATGCACTAAATGGGAAAAAGTGAATGCAAGGAACACTAAAAGGTATAAGAGATTACTCTGCATTGTTTCTCCTGCAATTACTTGTTAACCTGAAGTATGATGTTATTTGTAGTATTAAGGCATGAATCCTGATACTCTGATTATGAAAAGCCGAGGCATGAATGAGGTCTTGTTTTGATTCTGAACTATATCACAAGGTCTGAGTGTCTGACTGTTAAAAAAACTATTATTGCGTTGTGGCAGGGGAGGAGTGCTCTTTAAAAGGTGTCTCTTATAGGTTGAAATTTCCTTCACAAAAATAATATGTACTGATAAAGATTGTTGACATCATTTTTGCAATGTTGGCTTGCTGCTGGCTGTGGCGTGAAGTTATCTAATCGGGTTCAGATAATGAGAACTAGCTGAAAAGCTTCCTCTCAGTGACTTTATATCAAAATTGTTTCTGCTGTGTAGTGTATACTTGTTTTCTTAAAATTTGGCCTGAGTGCCTGAATGAAAAGCTTGTGTATATCTCTTGGAGATAATATGTAAAAAGCATTTTGTGATTATCGTACATCATTTATACTTGAAATTGTACATCCTCCTTGCCTCCTTGGTGCATTATGTCACCATGTTTGTTAATCTTGAAGTGTGTCGTTCAGCTATCTGACTGCAGTTAGATAGTTCTGTGTTTCTGCTTTGCAACTTACCTCTTGGATGATAACTGATTATCTGGGATGAAGTACAGACGATTTGTTGCATGGTCACCGTTAAACACTCTGTTCATAAAATAGATAGATTTAAGTAAACACAGCTTTATCATTGAAACATAAGGTTCAAAATGAATATACACACGAAAATTATATGTTGTAATTTACCTCTCGGATGATAACTGATGCTGTGATATGAAGTATTCCTGAAGCTTTTCTGAGGTATTTGTTTAGAAATTGGGTTATTTTTAGGAAAATTTGTCAGAAATCACCCGTTAAAAACTCTTTTTTGTCAAAAACCACCCGAAAAAAATTTTGTTGCCAAGGACCACCTGTTATAAAAAAAAAAAGTTGTCAAACACCACTATGGGCTGAATTCCGGCATTGACTGGCCAACTCCGGCGTTGACCTAATGCACGTGACTTTTAATGAATCCTCCCTTTCCATTTTTTTTTATTTTTTTTTATTTTTATTTTCCTTTCGAAATTTTCAGTCTTCCCTCTATAATCTCTCTCCTTTTCCTTCTCTCTCCCCTCTCTGTTCTTTCTTCCTCTGTTCTTTCACTCTCATCCATCTGTAAAAGCTCCATTGTTAGTGACGAAAAGGTTTGAAATTAGTATCAACAACCTTATGTAATTCCGAAACCTACAGTGTCATTGTCGTGGTTGTCTTTCGTTTTTTCCCACCCAATTTGCTTAATTTAGGGTTTACTAATTGATTGGAATTGGGAAAATTTCAGGTTAAATGTCGCAACCTCCAGCAAACACTAAGTGCGGGTTGGTTTTGGGGAATTAGCGTAAGGATAGGGTAGTGGGTCTAAGATTTCAAGGTAGGGCGAGGTGTTGTGGTGGTGGGTCTAGGGTTACGAGTGGTGGGGGTAGGTTTTCGAAGTGGTGTGGGTAAATTTGAGGAAAAGGAGAAGAGCGGCTGTGGTGAATTTTTGGTTGGTAGGTTTGGATATGCAAAAGAGGTGGATTTAGGTGGTGGAGGTGGTCGGTTTTCGACTTTTTGGTGTGGTGGCTGCGTTTCGTGACTGGGTAAGGGTTTTTTCTGGGCAGTGTTATTGGTTTCAGGTGAAGGGGTGGAATTCGATGGGTTTTGGGGTGGTTGTGGCGGTTGTGCATACTGTGGGGTTAACGGCAGTGGTTGCGAAGGTGGTTTGGGGGGTCATTAAAAGTCACATGTAAGTCACGTGCCTAAGTCAACGACAGGGTTTATGGTCAATGCCGGAATGTTGAGTCAAGTGGTCATTGACAACAACATTTTAAATTTGGGTGGTGTTGGGCAACAAATTTTTAAGTGGGTGGTTTTTGACAAAAAAAAGTGTTTTTAGCGGGTGATTTTCGACAAAATTTCCTTTTTTTATAAACAAACATCAATTATGAGTTTTATTCATTCCAATCCTATACTTATGAAACACCCACTTGCCACATATGCATAATGTGCTTTACAATAAGATTCGGCCCAAAATAATCCAAGCAAATGAGTGTTAATTTTTACGGAGTATCTGGTTTTCACTTTTATCAGTAAGTATTTAAGATTATTTAATTTAGGATCTTCCTAACGAATAATATTGCCTAAAATGGTATAAATTTGGGAAATCAGGATAAAACCACGCGTATATCGGTGTAATTAATGTTTATTTTAATTCAATCTTTTTACTTTGAGCTAGCTTATTCAACACGCCGTTTGTTAGCTTTTGCCTTTTTATTAAATAATGATCCCTACAAAACCCTTTTCTTTTTTCTCTCTTCAAACTTATAGCCTATTAAAGTACGGAGTATTAGTGTATTACCTACTTCGTATTATTTTTAATAAATTTAATTTATATTCCTAAAACTCCGTATAAGTCAAAATGCTTCATTTAACTCAATTGGTTTTATCTCCCTCCGTCCCCAAAACTTCGACCCTTTTGGGTTGATTTTGCGGTTATTAAGAAACTTAAATAAAAAATAAATAAATAAAAACATGTTTGGAAACATAAATTTACATGGAGTTTGTAAAGAAGTAGAGAGATAAAGTATTAAACATATATTTACCTCCGTTTTTTATTAGTTGACACGTATTCTTTTTTAGGAAGTTTTTTTAATTGACATGTTTCCTTTTTGGGTGAGTTTTATACGTTTTTAAGTGTACCCCACTTGCTTTATCATTCGCTCCCACTCTATCTCCTCTCCTTAATATGTTTGCTTAAATTGAACGTGTGAATTAAATAGAAACGGAGAAAGTATGAAAAAACAAAATTTTATATGAGGAAGCTAATTTTGTACAAATATTGTTGTAAATTGGTCGGTATTTTAATGCAAATGGGTCGATATTTTGGGACTAAAATTAAGTCAAAAGGGTCAAAGTTTTGGAGACGGAGTTTTTTTTTTTTTTTTTCTTTTTTGTGGAAATGTACACAGTAGTTTGAATGGATTTCACCTATTGCAAAAATAAAATTTCAAATTTCGAATAGATCGAGGTTTTGGATAAAAATGAAATAGTCCTTGGAGTACGAGATTGTACATTTATACACCTTGGTTGGTTGGTCACGCATTAAGTATTTCCAAGTTCACGTCGGTCAAAATTTACAAGGTCACGACTCACGACGACTCATGAGTTTGCTGTTTAACTGAACTTTCCGTCTAGGGTTCGGATTTTGGAGATTCAAGATCGCAGCTTTTTCAATTTTGGTAAGTCAGTTTAATTGAGTTATACTCCAATTTTTACTGCTGCTTTATCTGCTTGATTTTGATCTCATTTATTTGCTTTCTTTTGAATGTTTGATGATAATATTGTAAATTCAATTATATGATTTTGTATTTTTCTTTGAATTATAATGAAATTAGTTCAAGAGATTAAGTTTCTTTGACAAACTACTCTAATTCTTATGATTAAACACATAATTCAGACTTAGAGCATCTGCTTGACGAACTCTGATAGCCCCTTTTGAGTAGAATTGAGTGTCGATTATACACTCGGGTGTACTTAGCTGTAGGTACAACCAAGTCTGTTTTATGCTCATTCAAACCCCTTCCAAGGATTACTTAGCTCTAAGGTACACTCGGGTGTATAATGTTATCGCGAGGTTATAGGGTGGATCAAAAGTGCAGGATTCCTAGTTTTATTTAAACAGGGCTATTTACAATTTCATGTGGTTTTATTTTGTTAGTGCTTGATGGACTAATGAAAGGTAATGACTTACTAAAGAGGATTTGAATTCGAGTAAGAGGATTTGAATTCGAGGAAGTACATCTAAAGTCAATGTGATTCTTGCAGATTATTTAGAGAATAATTTACTAAGATTGCAGATTAAATTTACTAAGTAAATATTTACTTTAGAAGTATTTAGTAAGAATGCATTTAGGGGGTGGATTAGCTTGAAGCCTTGAAAAATGATGCTATATCACTTTGTGGTTAAATACTAGTAGAGGATTGAAAAGCTAGGTTATTAATTAGGGTTTTTTTTTTTTTAATGACATGGTTAAGTTATTGGTTTTTTTTTGTAGTTGTTGATTATGGTAAACGAATACGAAGTGTATTTGTATTGCAATCTTGCTACATGGATTACAATAACCTCAAACCTTGTATTGCAGTTATATTGAAATGGATATGATGAACTTATTAGATAGGATGGAGGATCTTCCTTTGGAACTACTTAAGGAGATACTCTCATGGCTGCCTGTTAAACATTTGTTGGTTTTCAAGTGTGTTTCCAATTCATTGTACAATGTAATCAACAGTCCATATGTTGTCCAACTTCATCTAAGCCGATCCCTTCAAGCACACTCGGAAGGGACCCTAATCGTCTTTGGAAATACTGGTATCCACACTTTCGAATTTAATGATTCCCCCTGTAATGCCACTGAACTTTACTGCCCGGGTAACTTTGATTATCTTCGAAAGTTAGCTGGCTCATGCAACGGCTTACTATGCTTCTCATGTCAAGCTAATGAGGTTGCTCTTCTCAATCCTGCCACCCGAGCCTGTAAGCAGTTGCCAAAAGTCACGTTGACAAATATGTTCATGGAATTGTGTACAGTAGGATTTGGTTATGAATGCATTTCTGATGATTATAAAGTTTTAAGGTATGTAAGATTCCGGGAGCCAGATACTTTTACAGCTGACTTGACAGATTTTCGCAATATGCCTGATTCTGGATTAGCAGCATCGCCAAAGTGGGAAACTCTTCTCTACAGTTTGAGAACTAATGCATGGGAAAGTATTCAGAACCCCCCTTGGACTTGGGAGAGTGTTATATCATCCCCTGGTATTGTGGCTAACAACTCCTTGCATTGGATGAGTTGTGATTTTAAAGAGGTAAAATGTTTCCATCTTTTCACCCAAAGTTATTATGAGATACCTCTTCCTGGGAAAATTAGTCCTGGTTATAAACCTACATTGTGTCTTTTGAGAGGACAGTTGTGTGTAGTAACATTTTATTTAGATATATGGGTACTAAAGGAGTATGGTGTGCAAGATTCTTGGACTCGACTGTTTCGTTGTCCTTCAGAGCATTGGAACAGTTTGTATAATACCTTGTGTATATGGAAGTTGGGCCTCATGAGTGCTGCTTGCTCAAAGGATGGGAGCAAAATCCTACTAGCACTGATGGAAAATAAGAAAAACTTCATTTGCTGCGATTTAAAATCGAACGAAGCTAGGATGATTCAAATCCCTGGTTTACCACCCCAATTTTCTGCTATACACCCTTGGGTGGAATCTCTTGTACCCTTGTCAGGTGTTGTGATGAACTAAAGGGAAGATCGGAAAATTTATTGCTGATAAATGGTTATTGCTGGTATCTCATGAAAACTTAAACTCTTATTGTTGCTTGGCTGCTGATGTACATTAGGGAGATTCGAGTATTGTGCCTAAGTTGGTCTTTCAGAAGTCTGGTCTGTATTTATCCTGGAATGCTTAACTATTCGCTGCTGCATTAGTGACATTATCTTATGGCTTGTTTGTTTAGTTATTTGGTTCCCTGACTTGTTGATAAATGCAAGTTCAATCAGTTCAGTAATATAAAGTACAGACCATAGAGTACAACCTATGTTAAGTCAACCCAATTATTTTAACGTGAAGTGAACCGGGCTATGTTTTGTTCACCTTATTTTTAATAAATTAAAATTATTTATAATGAATTAATTTTTTTTTGAAGATGGATGAAATTAAGTTATTTTTATCACAAATTTTTATGTGTTAGGCCACATTGTGTGGCTAGGCATTATAGGGGTTACTTCCTCTTTTTTTTTTTTTTTTTTTTTTTTTTTTTTTTTTTTTTTTTAAGAATTATAGGGGTTACTTCGTTAATAAAATTAGTAATGAAAAAAATCTAATAAGATTCCACCGACTATATTGATAATTTACGATCTTATAGTGGTATAACCGTGCAAGTGTATTTTACACAAGTACTCCCTCCGTTTTTAAATACTTGCTCCATTTCTCTTGGACACGTATGCCAATGTTAATATTTGATTACTAATATCTTTAATTATCAATCAGTATAAATTCTAACAATTGAAAATTAATAATCTATTCATTGAGATGATTCCAACAAGTAACAATTGAAAATTAATAATCTATTCATTGAGATGATTCCAACAAGTACCAACACGACTATATTTTTTCTTATGTATAAATCACAAACATTAGTCAAAGTAGGACATATGAATAGTGCAAAAAATAGAAATGGAGCAAGTATTTAAAAACGGATGGAGTAATAAATAGTGCAAAAGTTAATTTCAGACGTTTATTTTTAAGTGGAGGACTTAAATAATAGAATGTCTATTTACTTTATTGTTTTATGTTTTATAATCATTATATACTTTTAGTTTTGAATAATAAAAATAAAAATTATATCCCATCAATAAATTACACATTATAAAAAAAAATTATATTTTGTTTCATAAAAATAAAATACACATTATTGCAAGACATTTTTTTTCCGTCGAATCAGACAATCGAAACATAAAAAATAAGTTCAAACCAAATAAACAAAAAATATGTGTAATTAAAAAGGCTTAAAGACTTATTCCGATTGATTGAATTGAACTTATTGGATCTGAACTGAAGTGAACATGTTGGAGTTGAACTGAACTGAATATTTTTTTTTTTACACAGAAGTGAATATCTTATGAAAGAAGGAAATTAAGAGTGAATTAAACTTATTGGAGCGGAGTTAAAAAGAACTGAACAGAAAATAAGCCGAAGAGACAAGGCTTAAGTCAAGTAGAGTCGGTCCCCATTGATATCTCGTAAATAATTGGAACTTTTTCTGAACTGAGTTTGTAAAAGTAGTGGAATGTTGACTGGATTCCGTTGTTGTATTTTTTATTCAAATTTAACACCGTACGTTGAAGTTATTGATATCCGAGTAAAATTGCATATGAGGAGAGAGAATAACAAAGTAGTTTAACCAAATTGGCCCATTTACTAATTTAATTAGCAGAACAACAAATTGTAGCATAACCATTACTCCCTCCGTCCCTAAATTACATTCCTCTAGCATAACCATTACTCTCTCCGTCCCTAAATTACATTCTTCTTTCTCTCAATTATGTGATGAATAAATGCTAGATAGAGGAATGTAATTTAAGGACGGAGGGAGTACTACAATAACCATAATTTCATACATAGAAATAACATGGAGGCTATCATAGGCTCATAGCCATTAGCCCATTAGAGCACTCCCAGCAGTGAGGAGAAAAGCCCTCACGAGTAAAAATAAGGGTGTAAAAAAAATACCCGAGCATTACGTTAGTGAGGGAAAAAACCCTCACCGTTGAGAGCAATGGAAAACGCACAAGAGTTGAGGGGAAATACTCGTGGACAGTAACAAGTGGGCCCCACTCGTACACGCGTCTTTCCCTTTTTTTTCCCTTCTGGCTTGCAAAACGACGTCGTTTTGCCTTAAAGAAGGGCGAAACGACGCCGTTTTGAGGGGCAAAAAGGGAAAAAAAATTAGGGGGCAGCTGGCCTGACGCGCGTCAGACCCAGCCAATGGGGATGCGACACGCGTCAGGCTTTATCCTTCCAACCAATCAGATTTTTTTGCTTTTATTACAACGGTTATATTTTTGTAAGGTAAATATAACCGTTGTAATTATAAAAAAAAAAAACAAAATTCACCAACGGATAGATTTTTTTTTTTCTCTATAAATAGACATGCATTTTGATATATTTTGATATACTTTCAAAAAACCTATAAATACTACAAATTTCCTTCTTTTCCCAATTTCTTTGAGTTATTTTCATCATTTTTATTATTATTATTATTCGTAAAAAAAAAAAACCTCAGTTATTATTTAGTATTATTATTATTATTATTATTATTTTTATTATTATTATAATAATTATTATTATTACTAGTAGTAGTAGTAGTAGTAGTGTTAATTTAAAAAAAGTAGTAGTTTTATTGGTATTCTTATAATTATTATTATTATTATTAATAATTTCTTTATTATTATTTCTGTTAAATTTATTAATCCTTGAAAAAAATCGTATTATTATATTGTCAAAAAAAAGTAGTAGTATTATTATTGTTGTTGTTGTTATTATTATTATTATTATTATTATTGTTATTATTATTATTATTATTATTATTATTATCATTATTATTATTATTATCATTATTATTATTATTATTATTATTTTGCTAATGGATCCTAACAAACCAGATTTTTCTAATTATTTTTCTGATTTGGGTGATGATTTTGTCACTAACCCTCGATTTCAAACCTTCCTTCAACGAATAGCTACTCAATATCCACCGCAACAAACACCTCCTCAATTTCCACCACAACAAACACCTCCTCAATTTCCACCACCACATTCACCTCCTGTTTATCAAGGGAGAAATTCTCAATATGAAGATGAAATGGAAGAAAGTGTTCCAGATACTCCACAATACCCTCCACCTCCTCCAAGAGTGTCTGTCAATCAAAACCAACCACTTACAAAAGGGAGTCGAATGTGGTCTGTTGCGGAGGATGAAACTCTTATTGGTTTGTATCTGCAATTCAGTGAAGATGCAATTGTTGGTACAAACCAAAAAGCATCTGTGCTTTGGAGAAAAATTTCAGCGGCATATGATGAAGCGCAGGCTGAGAAACCTCACATTCTACCACCAAGACCTTTGAGGAGTTTGGAAAGTCGTTGGAGAAGGATGGCAGCTGATTTAATACAATGGAGTAGCTGCTATGACGAAGCAGGAAGGGTTACAGGAAGTGGCTACAACGAAGAAGATCGAATTAATAACGCCAGTAAGTTATTCTATGCTTCCTCCAAGCCTACTCAACATAATTTTAATTGTCACCATGGTTGGGAAATGGTTAAAAATGACCCAAAGTGGAGGACAAAACTTAGGTGGGCGTTGTCAAGAGAGGAAAGATTAGCTGTAGGTGATGCCGTCGAAGATGATAGTAGTGGCAATGATAAGCGATGTAGAACCGTAGAGGAAGGTGATACACCATCCACGGGTTTCTGTTCTGGAGGTCTTCCTCGACCCGATGGTGTTAAAAAGGCAAAGGCCAAGCGTAATAAGGGAAAAGAAGTGGCTTCTGATTCTTCAACCATTGGTGAGCAAATGAAGCAGAATAATGCCTGTAGGGAAACAGAGGCACAAATACGGTTGAAGAAGTTGGATTTTGACATGGAAAGGGAGAGGAGGAAACAAAAACAAGTTGACATACAAGAGAGAAGGCTGAACTATGAAATGCTACAAGATCTACTGTCAAAGGGTACTGATCTAACTCCCGATGAAGAGGCCTACAAGGAGGAATTACGTGCAATGCTATATGGTAAAAGGCACGTGTGACTTGGAGATTTGGCTTATGTTTTATTTAGTTAATGTTAACTTTATGTTTTATTCAGTTAATTTAATGTACTAGTGTTTATTTAGTTTATGTTAAATTTATGTTTATGTAATGTTAAATTTATTATTAATATTCAGTTAATTCACATGTTTTCTTAGTAATTTGAAATTGATAAAGCTGATATCTGATAAAGATACAATCTGACACGCGTCACATGTCACCTCTGCTCAAACATCAATAACACTGCACAATCACATGCTAAAGTAATGCACTGAATTGTCACCTCTGCTCAAACATCAATAACACTGCACAATCACATGCTAAAATAATGCATTGAATTGTCACCTCGAGTCACATGCAATTTCAATTCCACTTTAACTCACATGCAAACTTACCACTACCATCCAATAATGACTTTCACATTTTCTATATATACCTGTGTTATTATAAACGGAAACAATCCCAAACACACCAACTACCTAACCAAAATAAAAATGTCTTTCATTTCTTCCACCTCAAGCTCCTCTTCTGATGATTTCTCCAAAAATCATGAATTTGATTGCTTAGTTGATGAGTATGTAGCAAATCACCTACCTCATAGATTACTTCCTCCAGACCAACCACAAGAACCTCCACTAAATAATGAAACTGAACTATCAACGGAGCCCAAAAGGGATAGGGAAAGAGAAAAAGGGCATGTGCAACTATACAACGATTATTTCGCGAATAATCCAGTGTATAACGACAACCAATTCCGACGTAGATTCCGTATGCAACGGTCATTGTTCTGCCGCATTATGAGCAAAGTGGTTGAGGGGGATCAATTCTTCCAGCAACGTCGAAATGCAGATGGGAAGCTTGGTTTATCACCGTTGCAGAAATGCACCGCTGCAATAAGAATGTTAGCGTATGGCGTAGCCGCAGACGCTGTGGATGAATATTTACGTCTCGGCCAAACAACCTCTAGGCAGGCATTGCAACATTTCTGTCAAGGGGTTATTTCACAATTTGAAAGTGAATATCTACGAAAACCTACAGATGAAGATTTAAGGAGAATCCTTCATCAAAATGATCTGCGTGGTTTTCCAGGGATGATTGGTAGTATAGACTGCATGCATTGGGAGTGGAAGAATTGTCCTACTGCTTGGAAGGCACAATATGCTGGTCGTAGCAAGAGTGCAACTCTCATTCTTGAAGCTGTTGCTGATCAGGATCTATGGATTTGGCATGCGTTCTTTGGAATGCCTGGGTCAT